TTTCCCTCAGGCTTCCCAACCAACACCTGATGCACACCTTGTCCCATCCATGCGTGCTACATGCCCCACCCATCTCATTCTTGATACTTCACTACTGTTTACATTGACTTATATTTTATTTAATGATGGTATCACCATAAAAATATTGTCAGACTTTTAAAATAGCCATGGCACTGAAATGTGGAAAGTGACCACAGAAAGATCTTAGATAGGTTGTGATGATGTTCAACGGCACTAGCTCACAGCCTTGTAAAATGGTATTTATTAGTGGTATTAAACCTTCAAGTTCTTCTCCCAAAAAAGTGAGTTTTCTCATTTTCTTTTATGATTGCTGTCCATCTATTAAAACTCAGCTGATATAGCACTTAACACCAGACTTGTGAAGAAACTTTGTCTCGTAAGGCAGTTAAACGTTAATCTTCTTTCTCGATACACCATGGGTCTAATAAGCGTTATATACATTTGAATATCATCTGCAGTGGTTTGCAAATTTGATGTACCAACTGATATGACTGTGGCTACCTTGTTCATTTGTGACCCCTGATGCCGGTGGGTAGTAGCCTATGTTTCCAAGCTGAACCATTGCTTCAGCTGCCTGCTGACTGTCATCATCAGGCATCTGGTCTGGGTCTCCTTCAGACAGAGGTATGTCATCCCCTTCCTCCTCGCTCGAGAACTGTAAATCTGTGACATTGAAGAAAAGAATTACGCCTCTGAAATATCTCATTACCATTGGTGGAGATGAATGTAAGAGTTATGAAACTAACCTTCTGCTAAGACATCCTTCTTCCTCTGTCTGGACATTCCTCGTATCATCTCCGCTTCCATATCTCCCTCGACATCCACAAAGTCAAAATCATCGAGGTGTGACTTGCCATAAATATTGTCGGGTGAACTTGCCTGGCTCTGTAAGGAAGAAAAGCAGGAGACTTCACTTATGAGGTTCCCACTTTGGTACTTATGTGCAACAAAGAGGGTCACAACCAAGCACTTCAGATTTTACAAAAACAGGAGTTAAAATCTTCATAAAGGCAATAAAAAAGTTTTTGCCATGATGCTTCAGGGCCTCCCTCTACATTTCCCTCTTACCACCTTGACAGAAATGTTGCGTGTGAGGGCATAGCAAAGTTGAAAGGGACAGTGCTACAAGTGGATCATAAACTACACCGATTTATTAATGTTCATATTTCAAAGCAGAATGACCACTTGTAACTTGACAAATATGTGATGAATTTTCTAACATAAAACATATATGTGACCTAACATGCATAAATATGGATCTTCATCTGTTGTCAGGTGTGTAACGATCTACATACCCCGCCTCGAAGATGATCTGTCTCTACAATGGTGTAATTCTCTTCTTCACCTCCAAGCCAAGTTCCAATTGAATCAATCTCGGCCTGTTCAAGGGCACGCTCCTGCACAAGTGAAATGCTCCGCTCCAGCTGTGTCAGGTGGTCTCCATACTGGAACAATGCTCAGTGTTACCAACATGCAGCAGCACAGGATTCCTATTCATTTACTAGAGCTGTTCACATGTCATCATCATCGTCATCACTCCCAGTATTAAAAGGTCTAATTGCCCTGTTTTTGATGTTAAACAAAATTTTTTTACCCTTTCAAAGCTCTCCATGTCTTGTTCTGGATACAATTTAACTACTGAGATTATGTTATAATGCATTCTTTTAAACAATGCAGTGGAACAGATTACTGATGTCCATTACCTCATCTAGTGTGGTGCGGCATACATTCACCATCTTCTCGGCCTTCTGCGTGTAAGTCGAGTCTTTGCCATTATACAGAATGCAGTTCTCCAGTATACGCTCTATGTCTGCCAGAAACTCGTAACGATTGTGATACTTGTGCGCTGAAAATGAAAACGCCTTTCTCAACAAACTGTCCCATATTTTTACCAAACTTGGAACCATAACAGAGTAACATTTAAGCACTCACAGGAAACTTTCTTGGCAATGGTTTCCAGATCCATCGGATACTTGACAACATTGTAGTAGTCCTTGACAAGCTTCTTGTTGACAGGTTTCACAAATGGCCACGACTCTGACATTCCCTTCAGTTTGTTATTGACTATGTTGTCAAGTATGAACGACAGAGCCACCTGGTCATTGTCATCTAGTAGCGGATTGATCGCCTTCTCAAGCCGCATCAATCGCTCTTCCTTCTCTCCTAGCCTATCCACGCACAACGTCCACATCCTCCGTGCTGCCACTGTCAACGAGCTCTTGGCGCCTATAAAATTAATCAGTTCTGTATCTGGCAACCTCCTGATACACACATTTTCATTCTCACAGTTGTACCCTCTGAGAATTCATTGATAGCATCTGACAAAGGAAGACAGTTTGAGCAACCAGACAGATCATAAATGTAACACTGATACTGACATGGCTGATCACCCAAGACAACTTAACTGTATTCAGTAATTATGAAAGCTTCGATTCTTATATGAATTATTTCCTTGGTGATGGATAAAATGAGGATATTCTGCTGCAAAGCATTCTACATCAGCGTTAAACGGTAAATAGGAAATATACATTAGCCTTCTCACCATTGTACAGAGTGGAGTTTTCAACTATCTGGTTAATGTCTGAAAGAAATTCTTCCCGACTTTGGTACTTCTTTTGTCTCAGATTTTCCCTCACGCTCTGAAGGTCCATTGGACGAGTTACAATTTTGTGATAATCTGGAACAGCCTGTGAGAGAAAAAAAATATTCAGGTCTTCCAAAATTATGTCAAAAAAGCATGACTGGTTATTGGTTTACTTAACAAAGCTTTGTCAAATACAGCGATAATATTTAAAATGAGAAACAATGTGATGATTATCACGGATTAATTGGGAAGGGATATGAAGGATTATTCTGAACATTCTTGAACAATATTAACCATTAACAATTATCGAACAGTATTCCCACGGAAATCTAAGGCCTCCACAATTATCATAACAATTAAATGGATCTGTAATACATTCTATTCTAAAATGCCAGAAGAGCATATCAACAACAAAAAATTGTGGGATGTGTCATGCAGAAGGGCATAATACTGATGCTGCTCTACACAGATATGAACATATGAACACTAATAATGCACAATTGTCAAACTAAATAAGCATTAAGTCTCCTGTAAACCAGCCATTTTGTTCATATGCCCTTCTGGCATGATGCCCTCAATAAGTATCAATCAAATAATCCATTCCATAATCCAAGACCTTTCCTGAAATGGTAATAACTCGATTTTGTACCCTCTCCCAACGCAGCTCCATTTATTTCACATCTTCACAGTCTACTTGTCTAGGATCCATTTTAGTATTACTCTCCCATCTACATTCTGGTCTCCTAAGTCATCTCTTCCCTTGGAATTTTCTAGCTCTAACAGTATTATATGACAGCTGTTCTGTCCACAATTATGATAAAGTTTTCAGAGTGCTTGGAACTTATACTCACAAAGTTTGACCGTACCTTGGCGTTCACAGGGAACAAGAATGGCTGAACATCTGGCAAATCCCTCATTTCATTGAGTATGGACTCCAGAATGGTTGACAGTACCACCACTGGATCCGTGCGTCGCCTGTTTGCTGGTCGCTGTTGACGTTTCAAATAGTCACAGTGCATCTCATTAACTGCACGCCGCTTTTTCCTCGAATTAACAGCGTCTTTGGGCACTTTAAGCAGCAGAGTTCGGCGCTTCATTTCTTCAGCATGCTGGAAAGGTAAATTAACTCAAATATCAATATTAACAAGAATAAAAAAGTGAAGTGTATATTATTTTCAGATTATTTGTTGTTCTGAAGTATCCATGTCAATGCTTTTCTACTTTACTACAGATAATGGGATCTAGTGTATTTGTAAACAAAGTGTGAAGAAAGGTATTTGGAAGAAGAAGGTTTCAATACTTCAGTTAGGATCTTGGCTACTAGATGGCATCTGAATCTTATTTTCTCAATTTCGAGGAGTTCCACAAGATTTTTTTGTGAGGGTGGTGATATTTTGGTAAGGAAATTGTGGGAAGTGACCATTTTTGAAACTAAGCCAAAGATATGAGTGAAATATCAAGGATCTTAGGAAATAAATTGTGAGGTTGTGACTGCACTGCAACAGCTGAGGATCATGTAAAATTCCAGGCTTTCATGTTACTGACATTTAAGCTTCCAGATTGTAATATCAGAGACTTAATTTTAATTACAACGATGAAACAAATGAGTGCATGGGAAAAATATTTTATTTCAGGAAAAAGATGATGGATGTACAGGAAGACTTATTAATCATAAGTGGGCTCTCTTCTTACAAGAAAAGTGCTGAGATGACGTAGACATATAAAACAGATGAAAAACAGGAGTTCTAAGGACTTTGTCTTATGTATTGCTGTCTGTAATGTGGCATCTTTCAGTACCTTGAGTAGTTTTCCTGAAAGTTTCACTTTCGTGCCGTCCACGTTGACAAGATCCTCATCGTCAGCATTGAGCTGTTTCTCAATCTCCTCCTCTTGTTCTTCGGTCAATGCAACATTCACAGGAGGTGCTGGGGCAGATGGCTGATACAGGGGACATGCCTTATTTGTCCTCATGTGACCCACCTAAAAAAAAAGTATCATAACCTTAGATTTGCACAGTAAATGCCTAATCAAAACAAAAAAGTAATCTGTACAGACATTGGTCTCAGTCATGTGTTTCAAAAGAGAGTTTCTGTACTAGCGTAAGTAACAATTTTATGGCATTTACAAACATTTGAAGGTACGCTAAATAAATAAACTTACATTTCCACAAGCTCCACACTTTAGCTTGAGGTCAGGTTTCAGCTTTGGTTTCTTTCTCTTGGGGGTTGTCGTGTGCGGTGGATGATGAGGGTGTGCAATGAGAGGCGTATGTGCCAGTGGGTTTGGTAGCACACCAGGAACAGCAGTCACACCACTTGGTGCCACAGCTGCTCCCTCTGGGGTGGCACCCACTGTTAGATTACTAGGGTTTGTTGCACGGATTCCCATCAAGCGTTCTCGTTCCTGGTTACGTTTGATACGTCGCAACTGCTCCTGGATGCGACGTTTCTCTCTCTTCATCTCTTCTTTCTGATGTTCATCCAGTGTTGCAAACTGGCGGATGAATGCTTCATCCTTGGTGGTTCGAATTTTCATGTAAGTGTCGATAACCGCGGGCTTTCGAACGAGTTCCACTCGAGTGAATTCTTTACCCTCTGCATTACGGAACGTACGGTAGATTTTCAACACTCGACCTGCAAGATATCCAAGTTATTAAAGCATTATAATACACTTAGAATTTATTGGGATGGAAAGGGAAAAGATAAATAATTTTTAAACTGTGCTCTGGTCTAATTTCCGTCTAACGAAACGCTGATGTGAACTCAAGGTCTCCTCACCGGGCTGTGAACTGTACCCGGCCAGGGACTGGTTGTCATCATCGTCCTTTTTTTTGTCCTTCCCTTTCCTTTGGTCCTGATCACCACCTTCACCCATGATCATCTTCCTCAGTTCTTGTCGTTCTTGTTCTTCTTTCTCCAGCGAAAGCTACACATTAAAGAAGCCACATTATTAACATTTAAGGTGCAGGTGGTAATTGTGTCTGCAACCTACTTTAACAATCAATAACTTCGTGTTTTTCCAACAGAGTATACTTACAGGTTTCGTATGGTTCTCAGCAAAGACAGTGATTACTTCCCAAAACAGCATTAATGAATTAAGTTAAATAACTAACCTGTGTACTTGTCTTTTTATTTGACAGCATATTTTCAATATTTTTGCCCATTTCTTCTATGTCAGAACTGTCTTCATCAGAACTTTCTCCTTCATCTGTAGACAGTACTTCATTGGATGACAACACCCTGTTCTGAAGGTCAAATATCCTCTGGCACTCTTCTTTGTACCTGAAATTATACAACACAAATTTTCAATCACTTGGGGTCTGTGCCAATACTGTTTTATTTTGAGGCTGCATTTAAAAATAGCTGTACCATCTGAGACTTGATGTTCTCACTGCGCTAAAAGATGTCAACTGAAATTTTTACAGTTGTGATCCTGAAGATGGAGGCAGTATGTTCCTTAAACACTGGTAACCACATACATGACCTACAATACTACAGCATCACAGCCCAGAAGACCAAAATCAAGACCTGTACCATTATTTTAAGATATGATCAACATTTTTAGTGCTCTCCATTGTAAATTTGTTACAGATATCACTGTCGTTACTGTTACTACTACTACTACTACCACCAAGTGGAAGTAGTAGTAGTAGTAGTAGTACTACCACCAAGTGGAAGGAAAATATTCAAATTTATCTTTGTAAAATAGGTTGTCACTGAAGTGATTCAAAACAGGGTCCAATGTGGGTGTCATAATAATACTTATTATTAAAATAACTGCTCATGGAATACCTTGTACTAGGGAGTCAGTCAACCTAAGCAGTATTTATGTACCTTTCTTGATGTTCAGCAATTGAAAACCTATTCCCTCTTGAGAATTTGGTCATCCCTTCTTCTCCAGCCTTGGCCTTCTCAGTAGACAACGTTCGTACAACGTCAATAACTTCCCAACGAGACAGTTTCTTGATCTTGAGGCAAAATGAATATGCAATTCATTAGTACAGCTTTCTCATCTCCGAAATTACTTACGTTCTGTTTTTCTATTTACCTCCTCATGTAAATTTAAATTACCTCTTTCCAATACTTAGTTTTTGATGTAATTCATATATTTAATAGAATTAAATGACATATAAATAGCTCTTTAAAAGACAGAACTTAAGAGTATATGAAACACACCTCTTCTTCAGGCACCCCAAACTTTCTGAGTAAAGCCTTCGCGTTGTTGAGAGACAGCCTCCTCAAATCAGCATCTGTTCCTGTTACGGTTCTCTTTGGTTGCGCTTCCTGCTCCTCCTTACTTTGCTGTAATACGAATATTTTAAGGAATTACTCCGATACTGAAAGACAGACACATTATAAAGGGTTTACTAGTTGACTGCAGGCTGTATAGTCCCCTGAAACTCTGGTTACCCACCTACAGTCTATATGACATTACAACCCAGAAGACCAACATTGACATTGAGCAGGGAAGTCATACAAGGGATCGGAATGTATATACTCAACCAATTTCTGACGCCACACTTGTATATTCAGACATTGACAAAAGAAGACATCTATCAATATGACTCATATTAGAATCTACTGATAGCTCTATAATGAAGTGCTTGGCAGAAAGGCATAAAATTAAGTTCTCATGAAGATTGATTAACGTGCTTGTGACAGATACTGTACTGTTGGTTTGTTCGGGACCCTGACATACGAGAAGCCTTCCCCGCAGCCTGTAGGATCCGCAGGTCCCGTAAGCTGCAGAAGGCACTTCCCCTTTATCGCCTGAATATAAGCACGAGTCGTATTCCAAGGGGCGACCTTCACTTCATCATCCATTTTCAACTGCATTTCCTCATCATCATCTTCTTGAGGAGTAAACAAGAACTTCTCTCCATAGCCAGCATCCTAAAACAATTCCACCATAATAGACTGCTATTATCTTTTTTTTTTCGTGTCCAGTACACACTGTTCAGCATGGTGTGCATTGGTGGTTAGCAGGATTCACGACCCATCAGTACATGGGTTCGATCGGGACCGCGACAATCAAATTATTTATTCCTTGATTATTCCACAGGTTACGTAGTAGTAAATGACTGTTAATGACGAATTTGATTGGGTGTGGGAAGGAAACAGTAATGGTCTATTGTACGGTATTATACCATCATCTGCCTGGAAAGACTGAAATATACAATGTGAAACTATAGTCAGGATAGCTAGTCTGCAGGGCAGGAAGATAAACTAATGATGCCATTAACCAAACTCAAAACTGCAGATTTACCTTGAGTCTCTGTTCAGCTGCAATCATGCTAAAGTATGCACAGCACTGCTCTGGGGAGACCATGGCACGGATTTCTTCCTCTGTCGGGAGCCGGAAGTCAGGCTTGATGACCCACCAGTTAGAATCCATGCCTAATCAAATACATCACAATATTCTTAAAGTGAAATTATAAACTGAAAACAGCGTAGTGAGAAGTTATTTCAAAGCAACTACATTTAACAATTCTGACTTATATCTACTTCTTAAGAGGATCATCCTTTGTGCTCTGTCATCGTCTGAGAAATTAACAAATCAGAAAAGTTTTAATCCAGTGGGTGGCATCTCAGTTTCTCACAGCAGCAAATATGAAGGTGACCGTCTTCTGGGATGCTGTGCCACGTGGTCTTGTAGAAATCGACCAACGTTTCGGAGGTGCTTACTACCTTTGAAATGTCATTTGATTTCTACAAGACATGGTGCCTCATCCCAAAAGACAGTCACCTTCATATCTACAAAACATTTATTATACTGTACTTTTGATAGGATAAGATTATAATTAGGTTGGTTTCTATCTGTAATGATTTAAAGTATCTTAGCAGTAACAGGTATTATGAATAATTTATTTCTCTCTGCTCTTCAGGTTGGTCTTTCATTACAGCCACAATGGGAAGCCAAGAGGACGGCACAAAATGATGGGCGCAATACCTGTTCTCTTGAAATCAGCACAGAGCTTTAACCTCTTCCTGATACTGCTCTCAGAATGAGAAGGAAATGCTCTTTTAATATCGTCCATCTTTATCCTGCGAGGCAAGTCTCGGCTCTTCCAGAACAGACGATATATGAAAACCTGAAACATATATTCAGGATAAAAACAATTTTATCTTTAGATCACAGATGTGAGACAGAGCTAATGCTGGCTGATGGTATCACGGTGAGTCATCAGAAATAAAAAAACTGTTAATCTTTTTCCAATTCCTTTCTTTCTTTCTTTTTTGTGGGGGGGGGACTCAGTTTCTCATGTATTGCTTCATTCTTACTGATCTCCAAATTCTTGGTATCACTGTTCAAATGTTATATTTATAGTTAACTTAACTTACTGATGTAAGGTGCAGGGTACTTTGATATTTGAAGTAGTAGTTTATCCACAGCTGAGGTGTTGGCATTTTTTAATTGCTGTAACTAAAATATGCCCACAGAATGGTTTTATATTAGATTAGTAGCTTCTGGGGTCATGCTGCAATGTCCTCCAGAGGGTTGATATTTCAATTTTGACACCATCAATTTATTCAGCATGAAGATGGCTGTATCGTTCATGAAGCATTGCACTGTGTTGACTGGTAGATACTGACAAACATTTCAGAGGAACTCAATGCCTCCATCATCACGGTGATGAGTGACAGCCATCTTCATACTCATTATCATGAGAATCTGAAATCTCACCAATTTCTTCAGCAGTATTGTCTCATACAATCTCAATCTACAATTGAACACACACCCACCTGCAAGAAATCTCGAACAAAGTTGTTGGCTCGTTTTGAGTTAGGGCCAGGAACCTCATACAAGGGGCACTCTTGGCCAGCAACAAAAAGGGCATCTATCTCTCGAACGTAGTATTGTTGCCTGCCACACGAACCATGAGCATAATTAGTACGTCTGATAATACAAAATTAACCCTTCACATGTTACAGACTTGACTGATATCTTACTGCTCAGTGCCATGAGGAACCTCAAATCTTACAAAATGATATCTAACTTACCAACAATCCTCTTTACAGTTTAAGCAATTTATTTTGTGACTTTATACCAGCGGAAATTATAAGTTCCTTTGGACATAATGATATACCATATTTATCTGAATACAAGACTGACTTTTTCCATATAATTGGAATTACGTATTTCAGAATTGTTATCAAATAGTGGCTAGGGGAAAATTTTTCCTAAGCATTAAAACTGGTAATAAAATTGTTTTTCTGTTAATTTAAGCTTTGATAAAGGAAATATATGGTATATTCAGTTTGTCTCATATTCAGGTAAATACAGCATATAAAAATTAAACAACCTTTTTGTCATTAAAGAACTCAGAATGGAGATACGTTGTTAACAATGTCCATGGTAATTTGGTAATTTGAAGGAGACTGGATCTTGTTGGCCCAGGACAGGGTCCGGTGGAGGGCTTTGGTTAATTCTACAATGAACCTTCGGGTTCCACAAGCCATCTAGTTAGTTAGTTAGTTAGTCCATGGTAAATAAAAAAAATGTGATTCAACTCTAAAGGGTTCTGAAGATGGTGGATTACATTTAAAATTGTTCATTGTCTAGACTTTTTCCATCGTCCTTGTTTAAAAAAATTGTGCTTTCCCTTTATTAATTTCATGCTGAAGGGAAAAAACTTTAATCCTATCTGCTTGTTCATCTTCGTGAACATGTCTTGGAAACAGCACCCATGAAACAATTTCAAGAACTCTTTTTCCAAAACAATACTTGTACTTTGATTAGATACAATCAATTAAAAATACTTTTAACTTCTTTTAATTAATGAGACCTCTCAGCACTGTTATCATAGTTGGTTAACATGAACTGAAATTTTAGAAATAATTTTCAACTTTAATGTTCATAAAATCTAGTCAAGGAAAACATGAGAAATGGAGACAAAATCAGAGAGGTGTAACAATCTTTAAGTTTTGTTTGCAAGCGTCACTACAAATGTCTGCATTTATCAGTTTTATTTCTTTCCTTTCAGAATATGAAGGGCGCAAAAATCCATTCCTATCCCTGAAACACGGTAATATAACATAGTTCCAACAGATGACGAATGCTTCCTCACCTTGTTCTGATGACAAGGAAATCAGTATCCTGAACTTTATGCTCATATATTGGGGCTCGATACATGTTATTTTCCACTGCCTGCAGTGACTGCCCAGGGGGCAAATGCCCCAGAAAGGGAGAAGTATGAGCATATGCTACTTCTCCATATCGGTACTCTTGTGGCCCCTGATCCTTGCCGGCCCTTCGTTTGTAGTAATTCTTTATTTTTGAACACATTCCGACCTAGATAATAAGACAAAAGAAAATGTGTCATTTTATGGAATGGTTGTAAAACGTTTGTAGTACTACAACACTGTAAAATCTCAGAAGTTTCAACAGAACACCAAAGTGACGATAATTTACCTGGTTTATGAGCGGGGGATGCTCTTCACAGAACTCTATTAGAACCAAATCTCCATCCCGTCCTGTGAGATCTTCAGCAGTCCTCATGAAGAACACATCTCCACCTCCAGATGCAGCACGTTCTTGCTCTCGTTGCTTAAGAAATAGAGTTCGTTAATAGTCGAGTCTAGTCGAGCAAAAGCAACTTATCACATTTGTAAATTTATTATGTTCACTTTTCAAATTGGAACCACTGATCTATATCAGTTATTTACAATAAAATAATCTTTGAATAAAGAAAATATGACAAAGTTAAAGAAATAATGTTACATGGCCTTTCTCCAATATCCAAACAGACAATGTACAGACACTTTCCCATACTTCATAAGAAAATCGTGAACCACCTCAACAACCTCTAAGCAAAATGCCAAGAATCACAGACATATTTTATTACTTTAACTATGCGTTTAAATGAGAGTTTGTTTTCCTTCTATATAACATTTAACTTAAAAGTAGATTTGTCTGAAGGCATATTAGTTGTCTCTCTTAATGTGTAAAATTTACTTTCATTTGCTCCATAATTTGGGCCTCTTTGCTTCAAAAGCATACCTTTGCCTTTTTCTTGATGTGTTTCAGAAGTGGCAGCACTGTGTGAGGCCCAGGATGTGCAAGAATTCCATGCGAGAACCTCTTCATGGGTGGACGATGGAAGTTACGCAGTCTCATCGGACCCATGTGGGTCTGCACAAAAGGTGCACGCAGCTCTACTACAGGGGTAGAGTGCTGAATCAGGTTGCCACCTCCCACTTTAAGTCGCAGTGAAGACTCTGAGGATCGTGGCAAGTAATGTCTAGAAAAGAGAAAGTCTCATCAATTGGATAAACAATCATAGTTTCTAGACTAAGTCTACTTTGGAATGAAGGGAAATGTACGAGTCCTGACCCACATACAGGAATAACAAGCTTAACACTCTCAGTACATGAACTGTAAGTCTGATGCAACTCGGACATTACCTGTCATTGGAGACGTTGAAGGGATCTCTGTCTGGCGACTTTGGTGGTGGCGGTGGCGTGTCTTCCTCCATCACATTGATCACACCAGCTTTACCAAGGAGAATTTTAGATTTCTTCACATGTGGATGTGGAATCTTAACCTTTGTAGGAACCACAGAATCGCTTCGCTGTTTTGCTGGGTCTATGTCATCAGGAATACCTAACACGATGTTCTCATCATTGGGATCCAATGTCAGAATCTTTGGTTTTGGGATATGGGTCATATTCTCTGAATCCCATATAACTTCATCCTCCCATGCACCATAAACCAGCTCTTCATTTTCAACAGGAAAGATGGAATACCAGGTGTCGTCAATATTATCCTCTGTTCGCTGAGGGTGCTTATTGTTCAACAACCTGTTGACAGCAAACAAAATATTAGTCAGAAAACTTGAAGGGATGAGACCACTTGGGAGACTTATACATAGTTGGGAGGGTAATTGTGTACTAAAATTTATCTTTGAGTAACAGGGTGTGGACTTAGTTCATCTAGCTCAGAAACAGAAGCAGTGTTTACATTCTTGTGGACATAGTTATGAACTTCTTGTTTCCATAAAAGATGCAGAATTTCTTGATAAACTGAGGAGCATTTGGCTTCCCAGGAAGACTTGGCTCCACGGAGAGATACATACATGTGAGACGTCTTGTTCTGCTTGTTTGCAGATGCAGACGGCCCTGCAAGCTGACTTGAGGCCAGCCTCACTGTCCCTCCTGGAATATGTGGTACTCCCTTGCCTGGTTGGCTGAACGCCTGAGCAGTCCGGTTGCCACTGCTGGGTACCCATCCAGCAGCGTTTGTTTTACAGTTCAATTTCTGCATCACCTATATTTAACAATGTACACACCATATCTAGTATGTGTAAAGATGCAAACTTTCTTTTGTACATTGCTTTATTTCATGAGAAATGTCAGTGTGATTATGAATGACTCCTGAGAGTTTCTGTGATTTTTCTTAGCTTACACAGCACTTTAATACAGGTGGTTTCAGAATGTTCTCAAGTATCTCTATTCCACACAAACCCTTAGTTAGAAATTTGTTACCTTCATCCTGCTTTATTTCATCTAATCTACTGTCCCAATCCAATGTTAACTAATTTATCCCCAAAACCTCATTCTTTAGAGATGAATTTCTTTTGTCGACAGGAATAACAACATTCCATTATATTAACATTTTAGTGTCAACCTTTTAAATCTCAGGGATAACTCTCAGAATAAACAGTGTTAACCAATCGATCTTCAAAAGGGTTATAATTAATCAAATATATATTGTATGGATTATAGTTTAACCAGATTGTATGTATGTCAACAACAAAACAGAGAGTACCACATGAAAATGATAGAATTAATTTATTTTACCAAATCAGACTTATTTCACCCTCAGACTGCAGTTTGTATAGTGAAGTGATTTGCTACACAAAAGTAACTGTGTATAACTTATAACAACAACATTTTAAGCATTTTTAACAAGACTAAACTTAAATTAACAATGACCAGAGCAAGGCATCCGAAACCAACAAAGGTAACATTTAATACAAAATCATTTATTTTATCAACCCACTAATGTTACATGCTATTAATTAAAGATTACTTTATGCTTGATATCGTCGCCATTCCACACCACTTCATCCTCCCAGTGCAGCTGTGACACCATCAAGTAAGATTCGTCAGGGAAGTCTTCAGATACTCTTTGATCCTCTTCCTCATCAGGCCGCTACACACGGAAATTTTAAGTTTTGCAGAATGATCATGAAACAAAAATGGTATGATCTCACTAGAAAATTATCTGTTGAGAATGATAGGAACATCTTACGTAGTAAACACGCATAGTCATAACAACGTACAGTCATAAATATCCCTAAATGCCACATATCCTAACTGTGTTACTATGGCAACAGAAGACACGATGCAAATAGCGATTTTAAAAACTTGGAAAAGTCTTTCTTCCACTAAAAGAAAGGAAACAAAAAGCTGTTAACAGACAAATTACAAATACATATATCCACACATACAAAAACATTGTATAACATTAAGTATGAATTTCATGAGTTGACAAGGTTAATATGTACCTTATCTTTAAGTTTGAAGCCATAATTGAACCCATCGCCTGTTTCAGGTACCTCCAGCATGTCATACCAGACCTGTGCAGGGCCGAACCTCCAGTCAGCTACCTTTGGTCCCATATCATTGCTCTCTCCAAGTCCCTGATTGCCAGTCTGTGATTTGTCTTCGACTGGACACAGAAGTTTGTCCTGCAATATTGCAAAATGTTCAGTTCCCACAGACTGGGGACATGTATGAACGCAAGTTCTGTTGGTAAGATATGTAGCAAAAGAATCTAAAATGGAACAGAATGAAACTACTGATGCCGACAATTGTGTTAGACAGTCACCTCATCATCAGACTTGCACATGTTTGGTGTTGGTGGTGGTGCAAAGTTAAATGTCCATCCCCTCTTCCTCTCCCGCTGATTGTCTTGATCAGATCCAGAATCGGAGTGATCGTGGTGATGCTGCTTACGTCGCCGCCGTCTCTTCCGTACGCTGCGCCAGATCTGCGGCAGGCTACTTGGTTTCCCCGGACCAAATAATCGTGAGAAACACAGCACCTGTAGCATAACAAATGTTTGTATGCATTTCTCTGTGTTGTGCTGTCCAGTGCAGGTAGAGGCCTCACAACAGGCTGATCACCAGTTCAAACAGTCCTGTCGAATGTCTAAATGGGTTCATAATGTCAGAAGTATTTCTTAATTAGACCAGGCCATAAGGACTAATCCATAAAACATGAAGAAGAAAATATACAATTAGTCATAAGACCATACCTTATCCACACGAAAGTCTGGGAAAATTTCTGTAACATCAACATTCTGATACTTGGAAGGTAACATTGCTGCTAAAGGTGTGTCTAGTTTCCGCCGCCTGGCCTCCGCACTCGCTTCATATTCATAAATGTTACTGTCTTTCTCCGCACATGGTAGAGGTGGAGGAGGCATCAGCTGGATATCAGACTTCAAACACGTATCTTCATCATCAGCATCATAATCCGTTCCATCTTCTGTCTTTATTAGTGTGTCAGACTGCCGAGTCTCTTTTACCTCAGACACATCGTCCGCCAATTCATTTATGTCTGAGTAATCCACTGCAGAAGGTGACTTGATGTCATAGTCTGTGAAAAATAGATTTATATGTCAAAATAAAGTAACAAGCATGGCATGCAATATGCACAACTCATCATAATCTTCATTTTACTAACATAAATGAATAAGGTAAGCCATATCATTACAAAGTTCCTTTTTACATAACACTATCTATCTTCTTTTTATAGATTGCGATTATTTCCATTTATAAAGACAAGTTTCTCACAAACATGTGAACACATATTATAAAGGAATGAAGTAGCATGATTGTTTTAACACTGTACTATGTGTAATGAAACACAATGTGATGTTTACTTCAACAATGGATGAGGAAGGGCTAAGTGATGAATATATTTAACACAGCATTAATTTTACATTTCATTACAACATGTACTTGAAAAATCTTTGCCTGGGAACAAAACACATGCACTTTGATAGGAACCATGTACTTTAATTATGCATTAGATTTAGTATACAATTACTTTCATCTCTGTTGGTTTCAGATGCATCTTGTGGTTCTTGTTCTCTGTTCTCTTCAGAATCACTGTCACTTCTGACCTTCACTTGTTCTTCATCTATCACCTCTTTAAGGATGGAACTCAAGCCAAGTCTGCTAAGGGATGCAAGATGTCTCTTTGATTCATTATCCAACACATCGTTCTCCAATTGACCTGACTCATCTATGTTACCAAACAAGAAACCTGTGAGGTCAATGCCAGCGTCCGACGATCCATCTCTGTCATCATCACTGTCACCCATACTGCACCTGGAAATGAAATACCATCTCATGACCATACCAACAAAAATTATTATTATTAATTATGTTCTTGTATACAAATAGTCTGCCTCAGTAAGAACTCCTTTTTTTCCAACCGATTAATAATTTGTCAATGTTGGTCTCATGCACAGTCATGCTGTGTGGACCTGTAGGTAGATACCAGAGCCTCAATAATCAGGGGTCAAGCCAATAACAAAAATTATATATAAGGGTTCAATTCCAAAGAATTTTATTGGAATTGTCCTTATTTTACATTGATTTAGGGTGATACGTACTTCGTCGTGGCATCGAACTCCTTAAAGTTCATATTTCATTGCACTAAAATTCAAGGCAGCTCTGTATACGAGTAAGACAAGTAGTCTCATAACCCTATAAACTTGTCGTATTAGGTTGAAACCTTCATAACGGCAAGAAAGAAACATATTTTTACATTACGTTAAACTTCATCCATTATGCCAATCATAAGCATGAAACATTCGACGATGAAAATGTACAGAACGTGTTGCAACGACATTAATTAAACCTCTGTTCAACATAACATACTTACTTGTGTGTAAACAGTAATATTATGCCTACATAAATATGTTTGTTTGCTACACAGTATCATTAATATTGTGCTGTCATCTTTCAATCATCATCAGAACAAGAGTAGTGGGCTCAGCAGTTCAATCGGTAAGAATGCTATTTGGACACCAAAAGTCATGAGCTAAAATCACTACACGTTTGTAGTAACTTCTATGTAAGATTTGAGATTTTTCTGCACATAGGTTTGGTATTAGTCAATGGTTGTGTACAATCTGTGTGTTTCGTTTTCGAGGTTAGTGTTAATGTATGAACATTTGTTTGTGTGAACGTTCATGCACAGTTCAAATTTTAGTTTTCTGTGTGGTGTTAAGTAACGGATTATACAGTCGTCGCTGTTATAAGGAGAAACTGGAAACTATCAGTGCGATTGTATATAGAAATAAAGTGTAATGCTAGACATTTTACTGTTGTAGTAGGTGTTATCTTTAATCGAGAGTCTTTGAGAAGATAAAATTGCAATTTCAATTGGAATATCTTCCATGTTATAATCTTTTATTATCCCGTGTCTGTTTCCTCATATTTTTAACGGTCTTCACTTCCGGAACATATGAAGGTCGATTCTTTAACACGTCGACGAGTAAAAAAAACGCCTGACACGATTACATTGCGGTTTGTGCTTGTTTGCTGAAGGGGGGTGTTGTCTATATTGTTTATGTTTGTGTAAATTTTATGTAGGTAAGTGACGGTTGTACGTATCTACATTGTTCTTATATTGGATAGTACTCCCGGGTTGAAGGGAGAATAGTGCGAGTGGTTACATGAAACAGCAGTAAGCTATGTAAAATATGTAATGATTGTATCTTATAATTTCTTTGACATTGGCCCGATTACACTGTGCATGGTACACGAAGCCGGTGTTTGTAACAAGCATGTGATTGTTCGTCAAGATAAAAATATCTAGGCGTTGCCTTAGTGGCGCCAGTAGTGTTACAGTGAACTTGTAGTGCGGCTACGTTAGAAGTTTGTTCTAGGTGTATCATGGAGTAAGACTTAAAGGTGGGATTCAGAGACATTATGTGTATAACATTTTAAACGAATGTATACTCTCAATATGGCTACTGTCAAACTTAGTATACAGGACAAAAAAGACTTGGATAAATTCACCAAATTTCTGGCACTAAAAGCTGCTCAGATAATTGTACAATCAAGGCTGGGAGAGAAAGTTCAGACAAAGTGTAAACCACATTCTTCTGGAACGGACTGGGTAAGTATAAACATTTGTTGTCTAATCTTAAAACCTTGCATACCTTGTAGTGTATTGAAATATAAAGTATGTATACAAACAAAACTGTTTACACTTCTAATGACACTAATGCCAAACGTATTCCGACCTCAAGAGGTCATCATCAGTGGCAGAAATAAGTTAAATCATATAATACAAATCAAAAGTTGACAGTGGAAGCACTGTTCCGGAGAATCTGACGTAAATACGTCTCTGTAATGTAATGAAATGAAATGTAATAATTCTTATATAAGATAAGTACTTGTGATATTCTAAAACGTTCTTACTAGCACAAAATTATCTAGTCTACGACGCACTTCTTCCATAAGCGATTCACAGCTCAGCTCTTTACGCAATAACGAAAGCGGATTGTTGACGGCAGTAATGTAACAACAATGCCGAGTAAACATGACGTTTCCTAGGTAACATAACGATGCACGCAAGCTGACTATTGTTGTCGGTCCATGTTTACACATTGTTGATATGGATCTTACACATTTTCGTTACACGTTTTCCTTTCACTTTTTTGCCGAATGACCCTTCCGTAGAGACGTATTTACGTCAAAAAGATTATGGTATTTAATGGCATAAAAGGTATGTGTTTTACGAAACCATATTTATGTAACTGGGGTGGTCAAGGCCTGTAATAGGCTGTAGAACCAGTGATGATGATATTTATGTAACACCTCACTAGATGTTAATTGCACAAGACTTGGTGTATTATACTGGGCACTTAGCTTTTATGTCCAGTGGTTTGATTGCCGTTGTTGGTCTACATTGAGCAAGTCCCTGTGAGCAACATCACAGCATGAATGTGGTTGTAAATATATATACATTCTTTTCCTTCATACTAGATTAAATTCTGCATAATGGCAGGCTTTGATTTTACAAGAGTTGGGTTCTCATGATTTGCTATATGTTCAAAACCAGATTTAGATTTAAGATAAGCCAGATTTCACTAGTTCAGTACAAGTTCATCTGGTGGTGTAGCAATCACAGGAATGAAGCCAACTTTCTTGCTGAGTTTGTTTCATTTTGTGGTACTCGTAAAGTACAACTGAACTTTCACATTATGGACGTAGTGTTTGTTGAATTAAGTGAAAGTTCACAGCATGTTGTTTGTCATTATAAAGAGTCACTATTATGTAAGCCAGGATTTGTTGTTGATGTGGAAAACTTAAGTCTTGAAGGTGAAATTGCTTATCATTTTGACACTTATGCTCTGACAATTCAGCCTTGTATTTTGTTGCATAGTCTGAAAGAGGGCTTCACAAAGTATAGCCATGGTCAGAAGTGGCCCTTAAGATTTATAAATGTGTAAGTTTGTTTCTATATCAATAACAAATGATATTGTAAGGAAAATATTTGTACCAGAAAGAGCAAAGCTGAATCACGTATAGAGGAAGTCGTGTGATGGTAATTTTTTATACTTCTCATTTAATATTATTAGGGTCATTAAATCAAAGTATCACGTAGGTTGATATGGCAGTAATGCTCAGTGGTTACCAACATTTCAGAGGAACATGTCATATCCATCTTAATTGTTGCCATCGTAAATCTGAAGATAGAGTCAATACGTTCCTCAGAAACATTGGTAATGACCTACAAGATCACATGTCATCATAATCTGGAAAGCCACAAATTGATATCCTAACCAACATGAGTGCTTCAGGTCTCATACCATATCTTGTTTATGAAGTAAACTCAGCATCTGTATGGAATCTGACTTCCATTATTTTCTATACAGTGAGTGAGCCAGGCATCATGTCTGCTTGTTTGGACTATTAAACTTTGAAGTACAGTATCTGACTTTGGAATTAGAATTTATTTGCGTTCCATAGATTCTTCATAGTTAAACCAAGGATGTGGAACATGTCATAGTATGAATATGAATACTTAGTACAGGAAAATACCAAACGAGCCGACTTATTACATCTGTTTATATAAATATTTACAATATTTGATAATTTTCAATTGAAGCAAATTCTTCTCTGAAGTGAGATAAAAGATAATCTTTCAATGCTGATTTAAATACATTTTATATCATAATTTAAACATTTCTGGAAGAGTATTGAGTAATTTGATCCTTGTATAGTAAGCACCTTTCTGATAATGAAGTTAACACTCAGCTGATGGAGATTATGCTAATGCCTTGGATTTATACCATGTATGTCAGAGTTTGTTTCAAAATTCTGCATGTTGTCCGCAACGAAAGGCATTAATGAGAGTAGAAATTCACTTACAAAGGGTAGTATATTAAATTTATTTAATAGTTCTGTGCAAGATACTCTTATTTTAACACCTTGCAGATGGTTTTCTTTTGGTTGATGAATACTCTTTAAACCTTGCATACCGTGCAGTGTATTGATATATAAAATCATGCATACAAACAAAACTGTTTACACATTAAATAACACTTTGTGCCAAATGCGTTTTGACCTCAAGAGGTTATCATTGGTGACAAAAACATCAATTCATTAGTCGATAGTTGGTGTATTAATATACCAACTCTTGGAATTAAACGTTCAGTGTGGTATTAAATGAAGTATGGCTTTATAAAGTGTGGCCTTTTATGGTGCTTTATAACAGACTATCGTTTCATGAATTGTATGATTTTCATAGACAGATTAATGAATTAATGTTTTTGCCGCTGATGGTGACCTCTTGAGGTCGAAATGCATTTGGCACAAAATGTTATTTAATGTGTAAACAGTTTTATTTGTATGCATGATTTTATATGATGAATACTCGTTTGCTATCTGTTGAATTTCCCCGGAAGATTATTCCATAAGACATGGAATAGGAATAAGCAATGTCAACTAAATTTAAATTATCTACTTTCAACTGTGGGGTGACTATTCTCATGGCAAAGCATGCTGAACTTAGTTTTGGGATGATATATTCAATGTGTGTTTTCCATTTTAAGTTATCAATTTGTAAACCAAGGAAGTTAGTTGTTAATACTTCTGACCTGGACACTTTAACCTGTTGGTTTTCTATTAGTTCTAATTGAAGTGAAGGCTAGATCCTTTCACATATCTGTGTCTGTGCGCACGCGTGTGCGTGCATTGTGCTCCTGGCAACGTCAAACATTTGAATCACCATGAAGGGATGTGAAGAATTCAGATTTGAAATTTTTGGCAGTGTTAATATTGCACTTTGTTCACAGAATGTGTTCATGGGTTTTGTATGATTCTCAGAATAAACAGCACTAACCAGTTGATTATGTAATGGAAAGTGTTATTTTTTCCTTTGAGGTACAGACTAAATTTTTAAATGTTGTTCATCTTAAAAGGATTAAATAAGTCATTTGTGAAAAATAAGAATGAAACATATTCTGAATTTATGTGCATAAGTTTAATATGTACTCATTTGTTTTTGTGTGTCTTAAATACTGAAACACGCTATAACATTCATATATTGTGTGTGTTAGCAGTTTAACCTTGCAATTCGTGACCTACCAGAGGTTCTTGCCGAAGCGAAGAGGGCTCTTTGTGGTGAGGTGGTGACAGCCCGCTTACCTCTGTGTGTGGAGATATCTCTACGCACTGTGGAGGGTGACAGTATGATGTTAGAGACGTGGTGTCTGGGTGTTCTTCCAGAGCAGTGCGATCCCTCAGTCCGCGTTACGTACACTGTGTACAACAGAATGGGCATTCTTCTCAAATCTCTTGTGTCTGTGACAAGGGTCACACCAGCTTACAAGCTGTCAAGGCGCCAAGGGCCTGATTCATATGTCATCTGTTACCGTATTTACATGGGAGAACCTCAGTTACACAACCTGGGTAAGATAATATAATATGACAATACATAACAAATATATTTTAGGAAAGACTGTCTTAAATGGGTTTGCTGTAATGATGCGACTCGTATGAAATCAGATTTTTCTATTTCCTCATTCTCAGATCTATAAATGTCTCCTATAAAATATTAATGAAAGTGGTTCGTAGCTAATTCATTCTCTATATTCCTATACAGAACATTGTCATAAATTTGTCATCGTATCTGAGAATGATCTAGTGTAACTCATATTTGCCTCTGAAGGTTTATTATCAGAGGTTTGTCTCTTGATTTTTAGGGGAAGGTTATAACCAGGTGAGGGTAGGTCAGCTGTGTACTCCTGTGGGAACATTGCATCTGTCAGTATCTTATCGTACCAAGATGACTATCTCGCCACAGAACACAGGCAGAGACAATTCCATCATGCTGAAGAGTGACCACTTTCATCCTGACCTCAGTCCGAAGCACTTGCGATATCAACAGAGGTAAAGCTAGTTATCTCTTGATTTTCGTATTTTGGTTTTGGGAAAGATTTTTCTGCATCTGTCATTCTTGCATTAGCGTGAAGGCACAGAGGGAACCAATTTTTATGCCGTGCCATGGCAAGAAGGTTTTAGTTTATGTTTCTCACAATAATTGATGATCATAACGAGGCATCAGAAGTTTGAGATAGATTTGCTTAAAATTAAAATACTATTGTTTGTAGTTTACTTTTATTTGATATCAATGTGTGAAGGGATTGGAAAATTGCATTGTCATGATACTTTGGTGATATCAGTATAAAGGTATAACAAAAAGAACTCTGGAATATTTGTAACACTTCTACGAACCATTGAGTATTTTCTGTTGCCTACTGCCTGGAATGGTAGCTCAGTCGGTATAGTGACTGGTTATGGGCTGGGCGACCGGAGTTCGATCCCCGACAGGGGCAGAGGATTTTTTCTCTATCCTCCGCGTCCAGACCGTCTCTGGGGCCCACCCAGCCTCCTGTACAATGGGTACCGGGGTCCTTTCCCGGGGGTAAAGCACGGCCAGGGCGTGATGTTAATTGTAAATATTCACAATCAATTTACTTTCACTTCTGAATGTTATGTCTAAGCTTCATCCATACATCTTTATACAGTTATATAAAGAACAGAAGACTGAAATTGGGAATGTACAGCATTTTCATTTTAGGTAGTCACAAATGCAGCAGGTAACACTTTGAGCCATCACACTGATTGGTTTCATGGGAACATATGTAATGTCCTGACCCCACACTATTATTTTTGAAACCTTATCTGCATGTATCTTATGAAGAACTCTAAGAGATTTCAGTATTTTCTTCTTTTATGTAAGACATGGGGTAAAATAACTTTGCTAGACATGACAATTATGGTAGAATGATAAAAAGTGCTCCAACAGATATATTTTCATGAAAATTACGTAAATCTAGGTCTGGATACTCGTGTTAATGATAGCTCTCATTTTTTGCCAGTGAGGATAATAGTGCATCCCTAAGTGACACCATCAAGGTGGGGGCATTTGCTGACAGCTGTAGACAACAACAGATTCCTCTAGAGCCAGAATTGGAGATACCAAATGTGCCATTTAGTAGCCTCCTCGCCCCCCGGCAACAGTCGCCTCCACGGCCCTCTTCCGTTCAGCCCGCTGAACCTCCAGTCGAGACAGGAGGAGGAGCTGAGGTGGAGGATGATGGGAACGGCAACGTAACTCCTCGCTGTGATTCTCGGCGGTCGAGCTGTTCCATGGTGTCCAACAATGAGGACTTCATTATGGTAGACTTGGTAATAATTTGATTATGCAGTAACATGCATCCAGCTTCAGTGTTTGGGATTTGACATGTGTGGCAGTTTCTGTTGTTGAGGGTTCCCAGATTTACATAATAAGACATTTGTTAAATTTTCTGTGTGCTAGTGTTTATTCCTATCTCCTTTTGGCATCAAGTTTGTTGCATGCCCTGATATTTTCAAGCTGTGTGAGAACTGACAAATTTATAAATCACTACCTTTGATATTGTACTTAAATTTTGTGCTGCTTTCTTTAATGTCGTACTGGTCATTTCGTTGCTCTAGGAACTTGACTAAATTTTAACAATATTGCTGAAGGTTATGTGAACATTATATAGTCATCTTTGACATTGTGATGCCGCCACGGTTGTCTAGCGGTCAGAACGCTTAGCTTGTAATACTGGGGTCCCGGGTTCGATTCCCGGCGGTGCTCAGATTTACAACTTGTGTTGGGCAAGGCCATGGTCCAGGCATCACGGAGTTTTCCTCCGGGGTTTCCCCGGTTTCTCCGTGGCATCCCAACAATTACTCCACTTTCTTCATCATTTCGCGAAAAGGGGGTCACAGCAGAAGCGTTAAATATCGCGGTCCCGGTCGAACCCATGTACTGATGGGTCGTGAATCCTGGTAACCACCAATGCACACCATGCTGAATGGTGTGTACTGGATACAAAAAAAATTGTGGTTTCATGTGACGTACATAAAAATAAGATAAATGTTCAGAGATGTTGTTATATCAAAATAGGTCTGCATGGTTACAGCCCACTGGTGGTCTAAATTACTTTATTACCATGTGTGATTTTTTTTATTTATTTATGACAGCTGATTTTTACAATCTGTAAAATTAGATTAACGACAGTTTAGTCGTTGCCTTTCATTGCACGTCATGATTCATCTGTTTATAGAGATGTTTCGATTTTTTAGGAAATCTGGGAACCATGGTGTGTTTACAAGTAACTGTTAAGAGTAATTTAAGTAGAACAGATGTTTGTTATAACCTTCGTCATTAAATGTTCACACTTTGCATTAACCATCTTTGACAGCACTTGAAGTGTTAATATTAATCTTGAAGTTGCATTTGGTAGTTTGCATGCTGCTTGCAGGAATAATGCCTCGGCACTAGGACACCCAGCCTTTGACCACCCTGAACATTGCCCATTCAGGTTAATTTTATCCATTCTATGAAATAACTGTTTTGTTAGTGTGACTGTGTGGAAATGATCGTGGTGGATCATTTTTATCTTTGAAACAATTCAATCTGTTGTATTTGTTCAGTAAAATGTGAGAAACTGGCAGAGTCTCGGTCAAAAAACAAATTTTTAGTATAATTTGTTTTGAAACAAGATATTCTTACTGTTCCCTGTTCGGAAGAATGTGATGTTAAGACGAGACTTGTCTTCATTCTTTAAAACTTGTTATAAGGTGTTTCTTACTGTGATTTAACATGGGAAATTTTCGGTTATAAAGGATTGATCCTCTGAAAAGTGTAAATACATGGTTCCGCTATATTCGTTTGATGAAAGTCTAATCAAATGCTTATACAATGATCTTGGATTTCATTACAGAAAACACCGTTTGCTACAACAAATGCAAACAGCGAGCTCGGTGCTTTTTACCTGGAATGCCAGAGCGCCCCGCAACTAAAGACGTTCTCCGAGCAGCCAACGCTGGCAGAACAAGTAGGGGACATCACTAAAACATTAGAAGCGTTTGAAACAAGCATGCAAGAGTATGATGAAATGCTCAACTCTCTCTGCCTTTCTGATAACAACAACTAGGAACTGCGACGTTCGATGGCAGAAGAAAGGAATCCCAGTTCCTGGCAGCTTGTTTGAGTGTATGAACAAATATGTAGTTTTGTCAGTAAAACCCTCTGAGATGTTTGTGTTGCCAAGTTTACTGTTTAATTTTCAGGTCCTAAGGAAGCAGCAGAAGTTTTTAGTGGGATGTCAGATGATATGGAAAAAAATTTGTTACTTTTTTTTTTCATGAGTTGCTAATTATAAAAGATTTACATTTGGCTGGCTTCAAGCTATTTTTTGCCTTCTTAGGTGGGTGGTGGCCAAGAAGGTTGATATAATTATACTGGACACACTTGTGAACGTTCTGTTAACTGCCAAAGACCTATTCATATTTTTGCACACATAGGTTGAACTCCTGTTTTGTAATAAAAGAAAAAATGGTAACTCTTAATTTTTTGTAAAACTTAACTTCAGTTCCCACCACTTTACTTTCACCCCTTCCCACCCAAGTGGTGGAATTTGGTGCAGTTTATTTTCAGAAACAGTCCCTTACTTTCTGTGTCAACTCCAGTTGCATATTTTGAGTACAGTATGTGACTGATTTTAATTATGTTTTTTGTCGAATTGTTGATATTGTTTGACATCCACTGAATAATTTAGAATGTGTACAGCTTAGAATAGTAACGAGAGATTCCTAGGTAAGTTATGTTAAGGTAATATTGCTAGAAAGTGGTAATTTCAAATATTTGAAAGTAAAGTTATTTGAGATTAAAACCTGTATCTTATTGATTGCATTCTAACAGTGGGTTTTGTAGAAAAAGAAAGCAATGCAGTGTTTTTCACAGATCGATGCACTTGGTAAACAAATTGTCCTTCCTTCCCATGGGCTTGACTGATTACCCGTTTCACAGGATTCGGCCATTTCTACAAGTGCCGAGTTCTTTGATGATACAGAATAACATTCAGTACAAGTGGCCATTCTTATAAGTTCCAAGATAACTGACTTTACAGTTTATCAGGTTTACTTGTAGCCATTCCACCAAACTGCTTGGATCTGAGAAAAAGGCTGTGAAATAAAAAAACATTTGTTAACTGTAAAGTTACCATTCCAAATGAAGCAAGGATATTACCATCTCACGTACTAATATGGGAGATTTATAATAAGACTGATCTAACGGCATTGGACAAGTAATATAAGGTAGATGAATGTCTTGTAGAGAACACCTCTGTTTGCCTTATGTGCTGTTGCTAATTTTTATCAATATTGGTTTTTCTGTTCTGTGAAATGTCAGTATGAAAAATATATTTTCACCAGGGGTGAATACAGGAGTGGAAAGCTGTAAAATTTACAGCAATGATAACCAGCATCCTCCTCCTCTGTCCTTGACCCTTAACAGGGCGTGGTGGCGCTTAATGGGTCGGCTCTCAAACTTTTGAATCGTCCATCCATGAAGCGCTCTCTTGGGAATATAATCAGGTGATTTCCCCCTTGCCTGCCTGATTCTATGCCATTGACTACACTAGGTAGTGATAGCAGCATGCCTTGCTGATATAATTTATTGTTCAGATTTCACAAAATTGGTACACTTCACCCCAGGTTGTACGTAACGTACATTTTTATCAACATCAGCATAAAGCGGCCCCTAGACGAATGATATTGCACAATAATATTGCGAGGTGCTCCAGACCGTACAATATTATTGTCCAATATTTTAGCTGCTGATTTTCAGTGTACATTTGATTGTTGTGCAGTCAACATGTTAAGTGACACAGAAGCTGCGTGTGTGGCTATCGCTGTGGCTGTGTGTTTGAAGAAGAAGGAGAAAGCAAAGATGGATGAAGGAATGGTTCAAAAAAAGAGATGAGTACACTCATGAGAACTTATTAAATGACCTAAGAGTGAGTGAACCAGGCGACTTTCAGAATTTTCTGCGTCTAGATGGTGAATCTTTTGATGAACTGCTAAGAATGATTACCTCTCGAATTCAGAAAAGAAATACTACCTTGCGAGATGCTATCTCTCCAAGTCAGCGTTTATCTATTACACTATTATTGCGCAAAGATTGGTTTCTTTAATCACTTCTTGTTTTTCAGCTTCCGGATGTCTTTCTTTGTATTTTTCAACGAGTAGGTCGTATTGTTCATTTTTTTGTTTCGGTTGCTGTACTCCTTACTCTTAACATTCCACAAAGCCGACGAGTGTTAAACCTCTATAAATTCCAAAATGAACTTT